CAGTGCGCTTTTCAGACACATGCGAAATAACCACTGAGACGCTTATTCGCTTGCGTCTGTACCTGTGAGTACGTTTCGTGTGTCATTTGTGTGTGAGAAATGCGGGGCATATTTCGATCTGCTTTCCATTCTGCGCTTGACCTTCCGATTTGTTTCTGTCGCGTTCATTGCTTCACCTTTGTGGCAAATATGTGACTTTTTTGTTTAATATTTGCCCTAGAGCAATGTACTTGAACTTTGTATGCTGATTTCAAATATATAATTAGTTTTCTTGAAAGTTGCATACTATTAAGACTGCAACATGACAAAGTGAAAACAAGCCTTTTGCTCCCCCTCTTTCTATCACTAAACTTTTATAATTTTTTTACCATTGATAGTTTATGTTTCAAATAAAGTGTAAGAAAGTAATTAGGAAGAGCATACAAAATATGTAATAGATGTGAAAAATTCTAATGTGGGAAGTCCATATTTCTCCTACTCTAGTAAAAGTTCATAGAAAATTTTTTTTCAGTACGTGAAAAAAATATGGCAATTTAGACAAGAGAATTGGTTTATCTTACATTGGAAAAAATTTGGCAAAATTTGATGGAAGTCCGAGCACCAATGGTATTCGAAAAAGGAGGTGCACATAAAAAAAATAGCAAAATTTGTGTTTTGAGAAAAACGAGTTTCAAGGTTAAAGTTGAATGTTTATTTGTGAAAGATGTCATTAAATGCAACAAAATTTGCACACAGAAAAGAACAACCCTTTTTGTAGTAGTCACTACCACTAAAATGCTCCAACACGATACGTTTGTCCCTCACAGCTCTTTCAAGCTGACTCCTTACAGACATTTCACTCACAGACAGTGCCATGAAACGCTTGTCATATTATCATGATGTTACAGGGAGTAAAATATACAGAAGAGGGTCCCAAAGTACAAGACTGCAACGGGACCCTCGGTGATCTGCAACGGGACCCTCGGCTTGTCAATCTTCTTCTGCTTCATCTCGCAGAGTTTTGTGCTGACTGCAAGTCGACAGGGCTTCGAAATCTAAACAAAGTCCAGTGTCGAGGGACACAACAGTGCCAACGCTATTGTGGCTCTTCTGGCCGCGTTTGTGCCACGTACTGTCGTACATAATGGCAATGTCGTCCCCGCCAACTTCCCTCATCGTGAGCTTACTCAACCTCGCAAGATTGGCGCAGATGGCATTCATTTTCGCATCATGAACTTACTGGCTAATGGCTGTGAATGACTTATGATGCATCAGCATTTGCAAGTCAAGGATTGCCTCACATCGGACCAGCTGCTCAGTAGCCCATTGCTACAGAGCGTGCGACCACAACTGCTTTCATGTTGACAGCGTAGCTATCGCGTGAGCTATGGCTTTTTCATCTATAATAGAGATAAATGCACAAGAAAGGTGTTGTTCAGCTGCGCTGCTCGACGAGGCACGGACTCTGCAAGTAGGCTTCACAGCACACACAGGGTGCGCAATGGACAGTGGCGGTCCCCGATCTGTACCACGTGATTGGTTTAAAAACCAGTCGCAGGCACTCGAAAAACGCGCCATAGGCGTGCTTCTTTTTATCATTTATTGCACTGTAGCAGTGTGGGAAATCATCGTTATTGGAAGAACGAGGCTCAGCGCTTTGCCTCATGCGATCGACAATGGTGAGCAGTGGTGCATTATCAGTGGCAAGGTGCTCGAAGACGGCGCACTGTTGGCATTTTAACAGTTACTTTGTGCCCTTTATAGGCAACTTTAAAGCGTTGTTAGTCGATTCTCGATACAGAATTCTTTTCGTCAGAACAGTGCATGTATTAATCTCAACAAAACAGGTGAAAACAAAAAATCGGTAATTTTTTAAAAAAGCCGCATTTTTCGGCCTGCATCTCTCCTTAAATTGAACACATGGAGCTCTAACAGCTAACAGAATTATTTGATGAGTCAGTGATACGCCAGAAACAAGCAGTGACTTGGGCAGTGAGCCTTAATGCAGAAATATGCGAAGTTATTTGTGCTCTAAAACAGATTAATTTACGTGACAGAGTCAGCTCATTATTTAGGGACATTATGGAAATGGACCAAGGGGACAAGGCTAAAGGCAAACGTTGCCTGACTGGGCTGTGCCACCCATAGAGCAGTAGCAGCAGACAGGTGACAATGATAAAAGCATACAGGGAGATCAATCACTACACTTGCTTTACACAGATAGATGTAATGAGTAGGTTGGGTGATCATTCTGGGCCAATTTATGTGAGGAGGGACAAAAGCTAGAGGGCTCCCAGCTCGAATTAACCCTTGTGGGCACTGGCGTGTCCGAATTATCGGGAGCTGCCCCCACAAAAATACATAGGGCTGTGCCAGGACCAGAGTGTCAGTTCAATTTAACTAGCTTCTACTGTGCTGCCATGGGTGCTTACTTTATTTTTATGCAAGTGGGCTTCACCCACAAGAAGAAATATCACCAGCACTGAGCGCTGCACTGTTTTGGAAGCTTTGAGATGGTTTCAATGAAATTGTGCCAATAAGATGGCATACGTGGACACGTGTAGTCGAGTTTGTCCGGGAGCTAATGTGAGCACCACAAGTAACACAGCAGGAATTTTCTATTGTTGTGGTTGCTACTGGTGTGCTTCAGCGTGTGGACTTGCTGGTGGCACCACTTGCCCTTTGGATACATAACCGTAATGTGACCGAAGTCTAGTCTCAAACTGGCTGGTCGCCTCTGGTATCGCTCTCGGCTCACGTCTGGTTAAGCCTACCTGTTGTCGTATGCCTCGCTATCACACATGTACGAAAAGTGACACGCTCTACTGGCCATGAATTCCTCCATGACCGACGATTGTGATCACTGCTATTGTCGCATTTGTGAGCGTTACTTTTGGACAGTTAAGTCCTGTACTGTATATTTCGCTGTCATAGCCATGGGACAGATATTTTTTACATTTGTTTTCTGTTGGGCCATCGCATTGGTGACATATCATGGGAACCAAATGAGTTGGTAGATGAAGCTTTATTTTGAATGGGTGAACTGTCTTAATTAAAAGTGCAGAATAGTGTGTAAATTGACTTTTTCTTTAATGTGTGAGTAGCAATCAACAAGAAGGAGCACGGGCAAGAATGATCAATAGGCAAGCTGTTTACTGCTCCTACTCTTGCCCATTATACAATCCAACACCTATGGAAACAGTAGGGGTTCTTAGAGTGTTTTGATTTAGAAAATGTGAATCCTAGGCTTGTGCGAGTAGTGAATTACAGGTTTTGAGTGAGTTTGAAGCGAATGGTAATTTTGGTGGAATAATTTTGAATGGAATTCGAATAGTATATATATATATATGTATATATTACATATTATAAAGAAAAACGGCCATATTTTTCATGCGTGCACAGTATTCTATAAAAATTAAAACAAGGCCTCAGTATTTTTGGTTCAAGGGAAGTGGAAACAACTTTGAATAGTAGCAGTATTGGACTTTCATGAGAATGCAAGTGATAATTTCTGAAATATGTTAGTTTTAAAATTTATTATATTTACAGCATATTAACTCATATAGCAAGCTTTTAAACTTGAAGAATGATGAATTGATGAGAGGGTAATATGCTCATTTAACCTTAAAGTGGAGTATTGAGGCAGTGTGGTTTTCCTTTGAATAAATGTCTTCATGGCTGAGCACTTCTTTACTGGAGTGAATTTAATTTTACAGTGGGTTACATATAAATTAATATACACTTAGATAGATGCTTTCACGGCGCAGCATCACTGTACTACAGAGAAACCACTTTTAGAGGGGTCACATGCATATTAATATACAATCATTTATTCATTTCGAATACTTTGCAATTTTCAATAATTTAAATATGAATCAAAAAGGAGTTAAAATACAGTTATATCTGTTCGAATATTCAAAGCATACGAATATTGCCACAAGCCTAGTGAATCCTTGTTCACCATGCTCCATTACAAGGGCCATTCAGATAGGTCCACACCATTCAACTGTGACGGGGTCACTACAGTGATAACAGCTAATCAATTGAAAGCTCTGAATTAGGTATTGTCTGAGCACTTTATTGTCTTCACTTTTATTATTACAGGTGAAATCTCCGCACATGACTTTCAGTATGGTGTCACGGAGAACAAGATTTCCTTAAACTTGGTATATTAATGAGCCTCTGGTCCCTCTCTGAGGACAGTGGAGTACATCATTTTTAGCAACAAAGAGCACTTTAGGTCCTAGTAGACAACATCGAGACCTTTGTTGGTAAAGCAAGTTTTGGGGGGAACCCCAATGTGGTGCTGAGACCTGTACTTTATTTTGTGCATTTTCTCGTTTTGAGGCGTCTTCTCATGACGAAAGTGGTGCTTTTCGAGTAATTAGTGATTCAAAAAATTATTTTTTTCTTTCTTGTCTGTCTGTGTCTGTGATGTGACTTGCCCATTGTTATAATGAATTATCTTACAATATGGGCTGTGCACCTCTCAATTCATAACCATCGCAATGTAAAAAAAAGATAATAAACTATCAGTTTTGTCAGGCGTGCTCATCCAATCAGTAGCAAGACTTCATAACACGAGCTCCCTGTGGCCCACTAGGCACATTGGATAAAGTCTCCTATCACTTTACGTAGCGACATTAAACTGCCAATAGTACTGACTGCATTGTAACAGGACAGTTACAATGACCATTCAATTCAATTAGATCTATTATGGATACAATTATGGCAAAGTTGCTGGGTGGCTGTTTATTTTTTTCATTGACAGCCGACACCAAAGCTGATAACTTGGGTATCAAGTGATTAGTGAATGTGTGATGAAAAACCCAAGCAGTATCTTGGCTACTGGTGGTTACTGGACACTGCAAAAATCCCAGCATAGGCTCTCTGTTATGAAACTTATGAATGTTTTAATTTAAACTTATGGTAAAAGGCCTCAGCTCCAGTTTGGTTTTATCAGCTTATTTGTATGCAATCGCGTTTCATTTCTCTAACATCCCCTCTTGTCTTGGATGCAGCTACCCTGGCTCCTCTTCATCTCTTTCGACGGATTCGCTGGACTTGACACAATCGGTGAGATTTTGTTCCCGTTGTGTCACTCGGCACAACATGTTTTTTTTCTTCGTTAAGATGGTGTGGCATTTAAAAATAAATTATCGTGCTTTGGAATGGCTGTGCTTACAGTATGTACCGCTCTTATCTCATGTTTTCAAGTATTTTATGCAAGTCACAACAGCATAGTCTTTTCCTCAATCATGCCTTCACAAGCTTTGCTTGTCTTAATGTTCTCTGCGCATAGATACATTGTTTCTAGTTTTTGTTCTGTTGACATTCATTGTCGAAATTGGCTAGTTCAAATGTATATTGTCTCATCTATATATAGTAGTATAACTTTCTATGTTCACGTGCATGTACAGCACTCACAAATTAAAAAGTGCCTCTAAACCATTTAGTATTGTACCAGCGATGGGCGGTTGCTTGACATAACCGCGTCATGTCGCTATGCATCTGGCCATGAAAGGCAACTTTGACTCTTATGTAGGTGTTCGAATCGAAACAACACTGATGTGACATTGAATTGAACACTGTAAAAACAAAAGTATGTACATAACTTGGCATTTAGTGAGTCATGTTTTAATCTGTGAGGACTGTACCACTTTTTGTGCAGAATAGAATCTCTTGCAAATGTTGTGGAATGTCTCCACGGGCCCACACCAAGCTTCTGTGACAGCCGTTTACCCAGGTGTCTTTTTCAATTTCTTTTCATGAGAGATGAAGTTGATTGACTGATTGATTGATCAAACAATCGATCAAACGACCTAAAAATATGAGTTCTCTTCTACTTGAAGTCTATGTTGATGTGCGTTATGTCTAGTCAGCTGTGTTTGTGTCTTTCTTTGCTTGCAGGATGACGACGCGGTCAACGAGGAAGACGTAGTCAAATTCATGATCTTTGTGCTGCTGATGCTGAACCGGCGTCGGTCCAAAAACCGGGGCTATGATGAACAGCTGCTGAGGACCGGCTTCTTCACACCCTCGGCACCATCCAGTGTGAAGCGCACAGCCTCCCAAGAGCCCGAACGTTACGTGGCCTGCGGCCAGTCCCACTGTGGCTTGGTGGTACGGGGCAAGGCCTACACCTGGGGTCGAGCTCAGTTTGGCAGGTAATCCTTATGCAGATGAGCATCTTTTTTTTTTTCTTGCAAGAAGGAAGTCTGATCTTTATCTGGTACAGTAAAACCTCATTAATTCGAACTCTGTTTATTTTGAAATCCCATTTAATTCGAAGGACTTCTGCGGTCCCATATTTTCTAATGTAAGTTAGAATGTATAATTTGATGGGGTGGCCGGCACCAGTATGGATAATTTGATGGGGTGGCCGGCACCAGTCTGGTTAATTAGAAAACTTTGGGTGCCATGTGCCAGTTCTAGATCCCGATTTCGCTCGTGGAAACGACGGCCATTCATTGCCACAAGGCAATGCAATGTGTCGATACTGATGAGTGACAGCTGAAGCACCCCATTCTCGCTACTTCTAGCGCAAAAAGAAAAGAAAGAAGAAAAAAACAATCTCGTGGTCAACCAAAACGTACGCCTGCATAAAATAAGCCATGCTTCGCTGCAACACAGCGGTGACACGCGGGCAACTTATTACATGTTTCTTGCTATGTCAGCGAGTCATGGTTTACCCTTTCTTTATGGGATTGTAAAGAAATTAATAAAGAACAGCTTTGCGGAAATCGCAATGTATTCGAACCTCTGATTGCCGGTTGCTCCAGCAATTGGCGTCTTTGCGCTGATAGCGGAGTTATTGCCAGTAACACCTACTTCGAAAACGAAGTCAGAAAGTTTTAAAGATTATTTTTTCCAGCCAAAAAACATCGTGAGCTTCGTCATACTGGCCATTAATAAATTCATAATTATAATTGAAAGAATGTGCGAATGATCGCATCATGACGTGCTGACGCAGTGAAGAGCAAGCGACATGCTGGCCGTGTATCACTACTGTATTGCAGTGAAAATGTCTTGTTTGCTGCAGGCGCACATTTCAGTCGATCACGGCCGCATTTTCTTTCTTTTCTTTTTTTGGTGGCAGCAGCGAGGCCCATCATTCCTCCATATCTGCTGCAAAATAAAAACCAGGTATTGCTGGAAAACATAACCTTTGGTGCTGTAAGCTAGCCGGCACAGCAAACGACTAGCACCGATTACTTTGAATAGTTATAAGTTCCTTGCACCCCACTTTTTGTATGTTCTGTTAATTTCAAACCCCGCAACCCGCTTGATTCGAAGCTTTCTCGCGGCCCCAGTGACTTCGAATAAACGAGGTTTTACTTGTACTTGATGATAATGAGTACTCGCATATAGAACTGAAAAGAGAGAAAAGATGTGCTTCTCGAAAAGGCAGTCAGATTTATTTTTAACAAGTGTTGAGGACTCGACTCACCTTGTACAGAACATTATTTTTTTTAAAAAAAAGGAAGAAAGGTGGGCCATGTAATGTTTTTATACAAAATTATGTTGTCAAAATTGTATTAACTGTACCATGTTGTATCTAACAAGCCAGTGTTAGGATAACCTGTCATAAACACGATTCATCATTCGCACCCATATTGCACGAACTCATGCTCACAGACATAGTTATTTTCCAGGACAATTAACGTTGGAATTCCCTGCTTCAAGAGATTTTGGCAACTGAAGATTTAGCGTCATTGCTGGAAAAATTCTCTCTTTAGTGTTTAGTGTTTGAATGTGTTTTAATATTCTTGTTTCACAGACATGCTGCATCTTTTGGCATATTTATGAGTGTTTAATTTGATGCATTCATGTGATCTTATTTTTGCTCTTATAATTCATCCGCTGTTTCTTTTGCTTTTCCTGCATGAACCGAAAAAGTGGTATGCATTATGTTTAAATAAATGAAGTGAACTTGGAAGATGACAAAAACAAACTCAAGTAAAATTTAAGGACCATGCAGTGCACAGTGGAACGAAAAATGGAAGGCATAATGCTTCAAACATTGGTTGAGACGTGCGTGTACTACTTATGTTCCATCTTTATTGCACTGTTCTTTGTCGAAATGCATTTGCTTGTTGCGAGTGCCAGGCACGCATGCCCTGTGAGTGTAGTGGATGCTTCACATGGTGGTTCTTGCAGACTGGGTCACCGGGAGAGCCACAAGGAGATCCTGGGTGTCACGTGCGTCGAGGTGCTCGACAACCTGAGGGTCAAGGTGACGCAGGTGGCCTGTGGCACCCACCACACCCTCTTCAACACCGATGCAGGCGTGAGTGATGCCCTTTATGAGAGACAAGCCTTACGTTTTAGTACTTCTCGTAACACCTCAGTGTGAGCAATGAGTTTTATTTGAATAGAAACAAAGGGTAAGTATTTTGACAAGGAATCGGGGAACAGAAGAGGGCATGCATGTCTGTCTTAATTACCTGCAGCTATTTTTCAGTTTCAGTCATGTTCTTGCGTCCAGTTCAGTGAATAGGAAAACTAAATGTGACAAATTATATTACTTTGCATAGCTGTCGTTGTTTCCACAATTTTTTCTTTTGTATGGTTAACACTTGCTGTGTTTTGCTGCTCCTTTTCTGTTGCATTCTGGACACTGGTCACAGCACAGGGCTAAATATTGGATCCTGCAAACGTGTTAGACAACTGGGCAACATGTCAGTTTGAGCTTATGCAGGTACTGTTAATAATGATAGCTCTGCGAATAGCAAAACCTGGGGTCCGAAGCAAATTCGAATATTGAAGTGAGTGCTAATCAAATTGAATATTTTTAGAATATTTCTGGAATGTTTCTGGAACATTTTTCGAATATACTTCGAAGCGAAATTGCAGAAAAAGTCACAGTATATTCACGGAGTGAATGATGATGAGTGGGCGAAGCTCCGAAGGTTCTTAATATCTGTCTGTCCATCCGTTTGTCTGTCTGTCTGTCCATCTGTCTGTCTTTTTTGTTTGTCTGTCTGTCTGTCTGCCTGTCCATTGTCCGTATGTCTGTCTGTCTGTCCATCTGTCTGTCTGTTTGTCTGTTCATATGTCCATCCGTCTGTCTGTCTCTGTGTCCGTCCGTTTGTTTGTCTGTCTGTCCATCTGTCTTTTTATCTGTTTGTCTGTCTGTCCATCTGTTTGTCTGTCCGTCCATCTGTCTGTGTGTCTGTTTTTGTGTTTATTAAAACATCTTGAGCGATGCTAGCGCCATTTAGTGAACACTTTGCTTACTAGGGCTGGCTCCAACAGACAACTACAGCAGAAAAGCCTACACCTTAAGGAGCGTTGCCCCTAAATAAGTTGGAGAGGGTTCCTAGGCATATTCTTATAAGATAGCAACGTGAAAGTATTTTGGTTAGGTTGAAGCACTGGTAAGGTGGTGTTTCATAGTTGTCTCATCAGTAATGAGGCAGTGTGCAGGTTGAATTGTATTTTATTGAATTGTATGGACACTCTTGGCTGATTTTTACTGCCTGCATTACCATCGTGCCCTGTATATATTTAATTCAGAGCGCAGCATTAGTCACTAAGCTACGAAAGTGCACGTCCTCTGCCTTAACAATGGCGAGCTATTCATGTAATGTACATCATTTACCGCTGGCAGTGTGCCAAATTCGGGGGAATATCAGCACGTTCTCAGTTTTTCAAGTGATATGGCACGAAGGGGGGGGGGCTTAGCATAACTCGGCGGCCCGCTTGTGTACTTTGCTTTTCAGTGTGTGGCCGCCCGTGCGTATGCGCGTGCAGTGGGGGAGAATTGTACATCTTGGGCTTTCACCAGAACAATTTTGTTGTATTTACAAGGCACACGAAGGTCACTTTGCTCGCCACAGTCTCTCTATTTGCAAAAAGAGCGTGCTGATTGCAAAAAGAACGTAATAACAACTGTGACAAGAGTTAGTTCGCATTCATTCTGTGTAGACCGTGTCTATACATTTCATGCGTCCTTTGAGTTTGAGCAGCACCTTGAATGTTGAGCTGTGAACATCTTTAGCTTGCGCTCATTCTGTGTGTGTTTTTCTTGTGTGTTCTTTTGTCTTGAACAGTGCGTTGTACATTTTTATCTGGTTGCCGTATTTCGCCTGACATTCCAGTTTGTTACTATCGCAGTCATTGCTTCACCCTTGTGGCAAAAACAAACTTTACTCGATCTGGTGCAACCAAAGTGTCGCCGACAACACTTTACACGTGAAAGGCAACGATGCCTCAACCGCTTTTCCTCTTTCAACCTCTGTGGAAGCCCAACAGAGATGGCAAACCAGGGTGTGCTCCCTTCGATTCGGGATTGCCAAACCTGCCAAGTAGACATCAATATATAAGAAATTTCGGATGTCTTACATTTTGAATGCTGAAAATCTTTGGCATCCCATTTTATTTACTTCCTGCTCAAATTTCAGGTTGACAACAGCATTAATTCTTGGTGCTACATGAAGCACAGCGCGAGAAATTAAATCCTGAAAACCTCTTGTTACATTCATCATCTCCGTGTTGGAACAAGCATCTTCTTGAGTTTATTTGCGACAGTAGCATCGCGACAGTAGCAACATTTGCGATAGTAGTAGAGCCTGAAAGGCAGCTTTGCCGCAACATTAAAATGTGATAGGGTGAAGCATTTTGAAAATCTGAAGGGGTCATTGTCAATTAAACGTTGACTTGATTTGTCTTCAGGAAGTTTGAATAGTTATATTGCAGTGCAAGTCGAATTGAGTAATAAATAATTTTCGAAAAATATTCAAAAGTTCGAATATTTGTACAATCCTAATATTAATAGTTGTAAATGTCTCGGTTTCAACTATTTGTAAAATAAAGTAGAAAATTAACACTGTGTACATGTCAATATCATTGTGAGAAAAAAAATATTTTCTACTTGCTTCAAGATGGTATCCAACGATTCTCTGCATTGATGTTTGCCTTACTGAAATTAAGCTGAATCATCCATTGCTTTTGAGATGGCCTGTTTTGTCATATTGGACTTCACTGGTTGGTGCAGGTGTTTTCGTGTGGTTCATCGCGATATGGCCAGCTGGGCCTGGGCAATGTGCAGAGAACTTGGGTGCCTCACCTGGTGGACACCCTGGCTGGCAGGGAAGTCGCCAAGGTGGCTACAGGACTCTACCACTCACTGGCGGTCACCAAGGATGGGAGGTGAATGTGGCTGCTGTTGTGTAGATGTTGAAGCACTTGTCCAAATCAAAGGGGACATGCTTGATCTATTAATACCTATACCACATAGACAAGGCTAATGCTGCTTAAGACTTTAGAGCCTCTTAGAGATATTCATTACAAAAAATGGAGGTTGGCTTGGTACCCTGTGCTCGAGCCAGTATTAGAAGCGGTTAGATGAAATGAAAAGGAAGAAAGTGATGGAAGAAAATTGACTTTTGTCTTATGCCATAGGGCATAATGGGAACAATAAAAAAAAAGCCTGAGTTGGGGAGCAGTTGTCAGTGGCTGCAGAAGTTTATATGCCTTTCTAGTTTTTTCAGTAAGAGAATAAGATGCACATTGTGTGTGGCATCAGTGCCACTCATTGGCAATGTTTGAGCACGTACAGTTCTGGTCTCTTAACTCCAATCTACAGCACTCACTTCCAGAAATGTCTGGTAGATGTACCAGTATATATGATAGGACAGTCATGTCTGTCTGTGTGTGACCTCAACATTCGAGACACATGAACATTGATATTGTATTGTGAGCTCATCTTCTATGATAACATAAGTGTATGTATTTCATTTGTGCAACAGAAGTTTTGGGGTGTTATGCAGAAAGTGTGCTAAACCATTCATGCTTGAACTATTGTGTTTCACTAGCACAGCACTGTACTGTCATTTGAGTGAAATTCTAAGGGTAATGGGTTGAGCTGTGTGAATCGCAAAATTTTTGGTGTGAGGTGGATTCTAATAGTAAAGTTTGAGTGTAAATCAAGTTGAAGAGTTTTCGTACATTCCTTGCATATCTTTCTAACATTTCAAAGTAAAATTGCTCTAAATAAAAAAGTGCGAAGGATTCCTATGCATAATTTTACAAGATAGGAACAGAAAGGAGTTTCTTTTGGCCAGGTTGGTGAAGCACTGAAGAGTCTGTCGTTGCACTTGGTTTATTGAGAAACGAGTACGTAATGTCTAAGTACTGTTGCAACACATGTTTATGTAAACACTGAATGGGTATGTAAGAACCCCAGAGAATTATAAGCCAGAAACACGGTCAAAGAACGAGCTTTATTCTAAAGGGGAGATGCGGCTTTCTTATATCAATCGAAAAATAGCAAAAAAAGGAATTTATTTCAATAATTGAATTTTTAGTTCCTGAAGCCCTTTTCTTGATTCCTAAATATCGTCTCTGGAATGTACACAAAAGTACAATACACGGTTTGTTGCACCTTTTGAGCTGGCGAAAATTACTCTGGAAATAGAGAAAAAAAAGTGTTCATAATAAATTATAGGTCCACAACAACGCAACCAGGGGGCCATTTTACCTTCTTCAACATAACCCTCTATTTTTTTTTTTTTTCTTTATTCATACATATCCCCGCTTTGCCAGAGGCGTTACAGCAGGGGGGTTACAAAGTTGAAAAAAATACATCTTCATTAACACTGCACACTTGCTTAGATGTCAAACAATTCCATTCGTTAATAGTTTTAACAAAAAACGAGTTTGAATACAGGTTCGTCCTGGCCCGGCACGGCTTTATTTTGTGTATGTGGTCTGTACGTTGAGATATGTAATCTGGTCTTTTTAAGTAAGTGTCGCTGTCTAGTCCCGTTTTTTTATGAAATATCTGGTAAAAAAGCTTCAAACGCAATTTTTTGCGACGGGACGACAGTAACTCCCAGTTTAACTCCTTTTTCATTTCGGTACAACTCTGCTTTTGTCCGTACCGACCCAAAACAAACCTGGCTGCTCTGTTTTGTATTTTTTCTAATTTATTTATCAAACCTGTTTGTGTTGGGTCCCAAAGAGTACAGGCATACTCCAAGATTGGACGAATACAAGTGAGGTAGGCCGTGCTTCTAAGGTTAGGATCTGCACATCTCAAATTCCTTTGAATATAATTCAACGCTATCGCGGCTTTGGAAACCACATAATCCACATGTGCATTCCAGGAACAATCATGCGACAGCAATACACCCAAATATTTGTACGAGTATTTTTTATCTAATTTATTTCCTCCTAGACAAAAATTTGCATCAAATATTTTTTTCTTCTTTGTAAAACACACATGAACGCACTTATTTGTGTTTAACTTCATTTGCCACTTAAGGCACCATTGATGAATACGTGCAAGATCAGCCTGCAATTCAAGGACATCATGTTCTTTCTGAATTTTTCTGTAGACTACGCAATCATCAGCAAAGAGCCGTATACTTGAGCTTATATCTTTGTTAATGTCATTTATAAAAATTATGAATAGCAGAGGCCCCAATACAGATCCCTGGGGGACGCCCGAAGTGACCTCTAGAAATTCCGACTTAGTACCATTCAGGACAACACATTGGCGGCGTTGTGACAGGTAATTCTCTATCCAATTAAAAATTCTCTCATCTATATTAAATATTCGTAATTTTTCGAGGAGCAGAGGATGCGAAACAGTGTCGAAAGCCTTACTGAAATCTAAAAAGATGCAGTCTGTTTGCCCACCTAGATCAATTTCGGATACTAGATCGTTGTAGAACTCGAGAAGCTGGGTCGTACAGGAAAAGCCCTTACGAAAACCGTGTTGAGTCTTTGTTAACAAATCGTAATCTAATAAATGCTTCATTAGAGCCTTATATATTACATGTTCAATGATTTTACATGATATCGAGGTAAGCGAGATAGGTCTGTAATTCGTGACGTCTTTTTTAGGACCTCCTTTGTGGATCGGGACTACATTTGCCACTTTCCAGTCTTGTGGCAACTGGCCAGTGCTTAGTGATTTTTCAAAGATCAGGTAAAGGTAGAGCGAAATGGGGTTAACGCACTGTTTTAAAACTCTTGGAGAGACACCGTCAGGGCCGATAGCTTTACTGTCGTCGAGATTCCTGAGCAAGGCCTCAATACCGCTGACACTAATTACAAGAGGTTCCATGAGAGGAACACTGCTACTTGGCAAGGGTGAGCTCAATGCAGATTTAGGAAGAAAAACGGATTGGAAGTAATTATTTAGGCACGTGGCTTTATCCGTATCATTGGAAAGAGTGCGTCCATCGAAAATAAGTTCATTTATTCCAACCGGATCAGACCCACATCCCTTTAGATATTGCCAGAAAGGTTTAGGATTTGTACTCATATTTTCATTCAATCGTTTAAAAAAATGCTGCTTTGCATTTACTGATTCTTCTTTATATTCACGTGTTAGCTCCTGTAGCTTCTTATAATGAACTTTACTTTTCATTTTTTTGTATTTTTTGAATACCCGTCTTCGTTTCTTAATTAGTTTCAGGATACTGTAAGTCACCCACGGTTTTTTACGTTTCTTAAGCTTAGCCGAATCCATACTTGGTATGTACTGCTCTGAGAGTTCGAGTATCTTATTTTTAAATGTGTTCCACAAATACTCTACACTGTGTTCCTCTACCAAGCATTCAAATACAGGCAAATAATCAAGAAGCCTTGCGGAAATTGACGGATAGTCGCCTTTGTCAAAAAAGAACAACTTTCTTCTGATACTCTTCGTGATTTTTTGAATTTTTGTTGTAACGCCTGCTACTACAACCTGATGGTCACTAATGCCTGGAATGATATCAACGTTACTTACTAAATTAGGGGAGTTACAAAAGAGAAGATCAAGGGTATGCTTAAGTCTTGTGGGTTCTAAAACGTACTGTATCAACCCAAAAGTGTCAACAATGTTCTTCATTTCTAGGTTATTACGGCTGGCATGCAGCACCTCGCATGAGTGACTTCGCCATTTTAGATCGGGTAAATTAAAATCACCTGCTAATAATATCGTACGGTCAGACGCCTGTGAAACGATGTCACCTAATAATTGCAAAATACTGGAGTTCGCGGCGGGCGGTCGATAAAACGTCCCAGCTACAAAAGAAAAATTGTTACTGACTGTAACAGTACTCCAGACAGATTCGACAGCGTCATTACCGATATCAAGATTAGCGGATGAAAGGGACGAGTGAACTAACAAGAAAACACCACCCCCATGATTCGGCCTATCTTTACGGTAGGCAGTATAATTGTTAGGAAACACTTCATGATCAGAGATGGATGGGTTGAGCCAAGATTCTGTACCGAACACGACATCGGCCTTCACGGTATCAAGCAAGCCAGCGAATTCGTCTATTTTGTTTATTACACTTCGGCAATTCACTACTGCAATAATTAAATCACGATGATCGCAGATGGTACAATTTTCCTGTCATCGTTTAGACAAGGCAACGACTTCTTCCTTTTCATCATCCCAAGTAAATGCTCTGCCGTTTATAATCAGTTTATCGGCTTTTAGCTTAACCAGGTTTTTCTTATCCGCCCTTTTCGCTTTACCATATTCCCAAAGCTTCTTTCGTACAGTGCGCGTTTCGAATGAATAGTCCTGCTCAATGCTGTACTGTGTACCTTTCAAATTCTTGGCTTTTTTAAGGACGACCTCTTTTTCCTTATCAGATGAAAAGTTCACAATAATTGGCCTTTTTTTCCGTTCATTAAAACGACCTACGCGATGTGCCCTTTGAACTGATGTCAGTTCGTATCCGAGTTGGGCATTGCAGATGCCCTTAACGAGGGCCTCAGACTGTTCCCAAGTTTCATGCTGGTCATTATCGTCTATCCCGTAAAACACAAGGTTCATTCTACGGCTTCTGTTTTCGAGGTCGATATTTTTCTTTTGAAGAATTCGCATCTGATGAGTTAGATTCTTTATTACAGTGGCTTGCTCATGTACCAATTTCATGACGCTTTCTATATGGCCCTCGGTCATCTCTAGCTTGCTCTTTATTTCAGCTATGTTAGTATCACTGTTAGTTATCCTAGTATCAATATTCTCTAACTTACTCATAATAGTATCCTGCAACTTCTTCAAATAATCCATTTCACCTTTATCGAAAGGCCCAGGATTGAGCTCAATGTCTCCAGAAAGTAGTAGAAGAAGAGCAACATATAGCACTCGGTTCACAATAAAGCGAAAACGCTTCCCATTAACTCCAGTGCACACT